AAATATTCAGTGTAAAGTCGCATTTGTAAGCGACGGAATTTCATATTATAAATAAAGGCCAAAATGGCCCTTGAGAGCGACATGCTCCCTTTGCTTTATTAAATAATAAGTCCCAATTCTATAAAATTGCCCATAATAATACACTAATACCATTATCTTTATAAATTGTATAAACCTTATAAAAATCGTTGTTCGTTCAAGTTCTTGATCATGTGACTTAACTGACCTGACTTCATTGAACCCAAGTAACCGAAGCCCTAAACGTCCACCAGCTAAATCTAACACGCCTCTTTCATAAGGTTACTTCTGTTGGTTATGCAAGTTTTTGGACTGTGGAGCGACCGAGTCGCAGTTATCCAGTCTATAACAATATTTAGTTCCAGAACCTTCAATTTTCAGTTAGAATACTGGTAGCAGTTCTTTAACATCTTCATTATTTTCAGAAACATTGCTATCCGAATATATGTTTCCAGAATCTTCACTTTCTGAACTATGTTTTTGGAATTTAGGAAGAGGTTCTTCTTCACGTTTGCGTTTAGTTGAATATGATTGCATTTCAGTTTTTGTAGATTTACCAATATCGGCTAGGCTGATATGCTCTTGTTGCATTCTTTGATCTACAAATTTCCCTTTACATTTTGGACAATGACATTGAACTTTTTTTGTTTTGCGTTTAGAATGCTCATCGGATGATGACATTTTTACTTTTATATATTTTGTATCGTGTTTAATGTTTTATTGAATTTTTTGGCAAAAAGAGTATGATGCAGACATCGTCTTAAATATATTTTTTTTGAATATATTTACTATGAATATATAAAAACAAATTAAGAGTATACTGTAAATTTGTTCAATTATTGGAATTTAAACTAAGTCAGGATAATTCTATAGATTTCGATCACTAAAAACCATTAACCAAAATTAATTTTCCCATTAATATAAATAACATGTAAACAATGGCATAGTTAGTTCTTCTTTCCAGAACATGTTAATTTTTTTCTCTCCAGAACATGTTATTTTCTTCTCTTTTTTTTTAAACGAATGTACAAAAATCTAAATATACGCAAATATTAAAAAACATTATACCAAATATAGTAATATTATGAATACAGAAAGACTATCGAAGATATACACAGAATTCTATGAAAATTCAGGACTTTGCCGTTCATCAAAATAAATTCTCATTCGAAAAATTTTTGAGAAAAGTCAAGGATAACAAAAAATTAAACAAAGTAATATGTTTTGCATGCGAATTGAAGAAGAATTTTTCAAATACATGTGACTTATGTCATATAAACATCTCAAATGAAACAAAGTTCTTCGAAAGTTAAAGGTAAACGTGTTAAATTATAACAAACAAAAATTATTCTTAACTATGAAAGCTGATATTCAACAAAACAATATGTCGTCAAATACAAATGTGTTAAACCCTTTTTCAATGAAGAATTCTTAACTATGTGAGGTGATATCCAATGAAAATTATATGCCGAATTTTTCAATCATATCACTCATGTTTTAATAAATGAACTTCTCAAAAGAAAATTTAGGATTTCCAGAATAATGTAATACTATGCAGAAGAATTAAAAAGCATAATCTTCAATCTCATGTAACTAAACAATTCTTCCATGTATCTTCCTAACAAAAAAAACTAAATATATTATACATTATATAATATATACAGTGTTGTACCAAGCCCAGTTATTCAAAAATATCGAAACAATTAATTGCATTGTGGTAAAAAAAATAGGTATTATCAGGGATTCGGCATTGTTTTCTTTTTTATATATAAGACAATGCCGAATCTCTGATAATCATATGATATGCATTTAATTGCATATCTTCCAAGCGAAAGGTATATATTATTTTAATATAATCAGTAATTAATTAATGATATTCAAGTGATACAAATATAACTTTTTACAATGTTTGATTTTTACTTTTATATTTAACAATGAAAAATTGCCGAAATCGTGTAATTATCAAATCCGGTAATCAATTTGATCATCCACATATCTTCCAAGTGAAAGATATGTATTTTAATGTAATTAGTAATTAATTAATGATATTCAAGTAATACAAATATAACTTTTTACAATGTTTGATTTTTACTTTTATATTTAACAATGAAAAATCGCTGAAATCGTTTAATTATCAAATCTGGTAATCAATTTGATCATCCACATATCTTCCAAGCGAAAGGTATATATTATTTTAATGTAATTAGTAATTAATTAATGATATTAAAGTGATACAAATATAACTTTTTACAATGTTCAATTTTTACTTTTATATTTAACAATAAAAAATCACTGAAATCACGTAATTATCAAATCTGATAATCAATTCCAAGCGAAAGGTATATATTTATATTTTTTTTTTTTTTTTTTTTTTTTTTTTTACTTTGATAACCTCGCACAAATTTATTAGATATATGTAAGCTTAAACTATCTAAAATCATATTTGTCTAATACTCGGCTGCTATAAAAGTGCCCAAGTACAGTTAAGGAGCAATCGGCCCACCTTCAGGTAAATATATTATTATCATTTTACATCTTTTTTTTTTTATATATTTTTTTATTTTTTATTTTTTATTTTTTTTTATTTTTTTATTTAATTTAATATAAGACGAAATAAAAGTATTAATAGAGGGTGGTAAATTGTCTGATCAAAAACCGGATCTTAATAAAACTTGGTCAGAGCAGTCAAGAGATATTCGCTATAAGTTGATCCCGGCAATAACGAAAAATCTGCTGGGTTATGCGCAACATAAAGGCCCAATTGAGGAGATACTAAAGCAACATCATAAGACGCAGAGGCGCACTGCACAGATAAATACTGATCCTGACCTAAAGAAACATAATCGGGCCTGAATAGGGAAGAATAATAAGATGACCGAGGTAGAATAATTAATATTATAATTTTAATTTATTATTTATTTATTTAATATATTTATTTTTTATTTATTATTATTATTTTTTTTAAAATATATTAGAAGAGGAAAAGAAGACGTAAGGCATTATTGTACTTACTTAAATCGGGCAATAAAAAGTATAGAGAGGTACTTCCGGGCCGATTTGAAGGAGTTGACTAGAAGTAAAGGTGGAAATGCATATCATTTGGCAGAAGAGTAAATGACTGATCCTGAAGCATTAGAAGAAGGGGAGAAGCGTTTAAGATTAGTATGTATAGATAAATGGTAGAGAGAACCGAATGTGAGTATAATGAATAATAATGCTAGCTAGTTTTATTATAGTATGTCCCATAATTTAACATATATATATATAATTTTAATAATTTAGTTGAAGAGGCTGTTCCACAAACGAATAGATTTATATGTGAAAAGGTTTCAGCCAAAAAATAAACCAATGATCAAGCGCCACTATACAGGAATTGTGGATAATGAAGAAGTACCGCCCCCGGATTGCCTGGCATGGGCTTTATCCGAAGAAGCAAGAGAAAGATATAACATACCGGAACCAGGGTTTGATGCAGATTATGATACTGGAGACGAAGACCCAAGAAAAAAAAAGAAAAAGAAAAGAAAGCACCGGTCTAGTGAATGAAAAAGTGGTGGTGAAGAAAGCCGGAAAAGAAAAAGAGACGATGATAACGTAGTATTGTATAGGAGAAGGAAGAGTATAGAAGAAGAAGGTAGTTCCCTAACAACAACAACAGGAGCAGCAAAAACAATGACAACCACAACCACAACCAAAGCACCCAAATCAGCAACAACAACAGCAACAAGAGCAGCAGCAGCAGCAACAAAAACAACCGCTAGAACAACACCAGCAACTCTCACAACTGCTAGAACAATATCAGCAACCTCATCAATACCAGCAACCTCATCAACACTAGCAGCAACCTCATCAACACCAGCAGCAACCTCATTAACACCAGCAGCTATATCTACAACACCAGCAGTAACATTTACAACAGCTGGTGCACCAGCAAGAACAAGAAGTGAATTGGATGAATTAGTAATAATATCGCCGATTTCAAGTTCTAGAACACATTCGACTTCTTTTGCCGGAGCACCAAGACTAAAAATAAAAACACATAAACAAATAGCATCAGAAAGTGAAAGTGATGGTGATAGTAATGATGATAGTGATGGTGATGGTGATAGTAAAGATAAAAGTGAAGGCAAAGGAAAAGGAAGGGAACAAAGGAAAAGAAAAAGGTGAAAGGGTGATGATAATAAAAGTAAAACAAAGAAAAAGTCAAAAAGAAAGAGATAAATATATATAATTTGTTTTTATTTTAAATATTACAATATAAGTATATATAAATAAGATAGA